AATTCACTTAACCTGAGATCAATACTTTACCTCCTGTAAAATGCAGTCTTGAAATTTAAAGAGATCACCTCTTTCTTTCCTGAGATATTTTCACTTTTCCCCACCCACCAGAGACCAATATACTCTTTCTCAGCTAGCTGGAATTGCCTGCTTTGAAGTTCAGGTGTACAAGTGTTCGGTTTTACAAACATTGTCAGAAAATTAAAAATTATTCTGACATTTTTACAAACCAAGTTTGATCATTTTATGTTCAGCTCTAAAGATAACCAGGCAAAACAGTCAATTTCTTTATGATCAATTCAAAAACAATTGAAGCACAACTAAAATGATCAATGCAAAGAATATACTTTAATACAATTACTAAAGAATGCAATTATGGATCACTAAACCCATTAAAGGAAGTTCAATCTGAGTTAGGCAACTCCATAGCTGTAAGTGTATCTCCATATTAATCTTATTTACAGCCTGGTAGACCTCATAAACACAAATCAAACTGCAGCAATTTTAAGAGCAGTATTATACAGCTGAGCAGAAAAAAAAAAAAAAAAAAAAAAAAAAAAAAAAAAAACAACTCTGTCTAGGCACAGCTCTGGACTTTTTTTCTAAAAGCAACCAAGGATTTTGTTAGCCTTCTTGGCCATGAGGACACATTGCTGCATGTTGACCACCAAGGCCCATAAGTTCCTTTCTGCAAGGCTGCTTTCCAGCTGGTCAGCTCTAGCCCATACTTGCACATGAAGTTCCCTGTGTGCAGGGTTCTGTGCTTCCCTTCATTGAACTTCAGACAATCTTCTCCCACCAAGGTTAAGCTTTTCCTGCTACAGACTTTTTTTCTGTTCTCAAAGGCCTGGAATTCCTGAAGGTAACTTACCAGTGAAGACAAAGCTGAAGATGACATAAAGCATCTTTGGCTTTTTCCATGTTCCTTGCCACCAGAGCCCCTTCCCATCTAAACAACAGGTCCACATTCTTACTTGGCTTCCTCTTACTGCCAAGATATACTGGTAGAAGCCCTTTGTGTAACCCTTCAAATCCCTCCCCAGACTCAACTCTAGACTACAGCTTTCTTATCTAGCCCTCTCCCTGCAAACTTGGACAGTTTCTCTATGGGGCATCTGACCCTGCTTCCACCTTTTTCTGCTTGAACAGTTTCTCTATGCGGCATCTGACCCTGCTTCCACCTTTTTCTGCTTGAGTTTTGTCAGGAAGTCTCTGCTCGGCTATGCAGACCTGCTGCTGCCTGTGATCAGTTTGCTGCTCACTAGGATAGACTGCTCCTGAGCTTCTTGAGTCCGTTTTCTTCTTGGTGGAGGTTTAGGGAAAAAAAAATAACAAAAAAAAAAAAAAAAAAGGCTTTTCAAGGAGCTAGAGCAGCCTTCCTGAGAACAAGATGGAGTGGAAGCAGGCCAAACAGAGCATACAAGCTACAAGGACCCTACACTATAGCCCATCTACAACTGGCACAGATTGCAAAGCTCGGTGCAATTTCAAAATGCTCTGAAGCTGCTCTAATATTATATCTAAGAGCTGTCAGTTGTTCCAGAATACAAAGGCAGATTGCAGCTATCCTTCTTTCTTGTTAACTTGTATTCTTGTTCAAAGAGAGCAACTGAGAATTGGGGTCTCAGGAGCCAAAAGTCACACTTCCTTTTTCTGACCCAAGGTTTGGGGAGGCTCTCCTCATACTTTTAAGCTATTCACCACCTCTCTTCCTAAATTACTGAGACTTTACTACCTGATCCTTCAGAGAAACCTTTGCTATTTCTCACTTCAGTATCTCTGACCTGCTATACATTACTCTCTCACTGCAGCTTATTTCATTAAAGTGAGAAATGTCTAAATTTGCTTCACTATCTCTCCAAGCTTGATTTTCTCAACTCTAAAAAAAATGTCAAAGGTATCATAAAGGTCTGTCCAAGGAACACCTCAAAGATTAATGGTAATGAAGCTACAGCAGCTTAATGAAGTTGCTTAACAAGTCAGATAGCATTATAGGCTGTTTAGCACTAGCAAGGTTATGCCTGGCAAAAGTTTAAACAGGAGCTTGCTTTGTTTGCCTGTGAAAAAGTACTTATTGAACTCACCAAGTCTGATGCTGCAGGACGCCTCCTGCTCACTTATCAGCTGTCTGCAGCTGTATTCTGGGTCACGCTTGCTGCTGGAGAGAGAAGGAAGGCCAACCACAGCAAAAGCTGTGCTGCTAACTGAGGTCCTGACACCCACCAAGCCTCTGATGGAGCACAGGCACAGGACCCCAGCACACTGCCTGCCACATGCCTGGGGAGGCACATCCTGCTGTAGGTTTAGCACTCCCACCAAAAATAGTTGGTAAATTCCCTCTACCAATTGACCTAAAACCTGGATTTCCACTTATCAGCATCAAGATAATCCAAGAAATCTGTGATGTCTGTGGCTCTTTAGCCCAAGCAGTTGGCTAATATTCAGAGCTCTACACGTATTAGAACACAATTCAGTCACCGAAATCAAATTAACAGCTGCAAATTGGTTTATTACCTGTAAACATACTCAGAAAAATCTACCCATCTTTCAAACAGCATGAGCAAAGAACTGGCAGTTTCCTACTTCAGAAACTTCAAGTGTCTCAAACTCTGGAGGAGCTACCTCTTCAGCTGCTGTCAGGGCATAAGTTGCTTCTTGCTTCTTCCATGTGCACAGCCTGAATGCAAGAAACACTTTTTTTTTTTTTTTTTTTTTTGCAACCAAGGCTACCCCTCAGTGCATATACCTTGGATGTACCTGTCACCTTAAGTAGGCATGTTGTTATCCACAGCTGATTTCATTACAGCTAGAACAGCTTTCTTACTTTTCTGGAATCATTAAAAGATTATTTTCAGGCACTTTAGAGATATCTACCACCTCCAGCTACCAGTTTAACAATAAGTTGTCTGGATTACTTCCATAATGAGGTCAATTAAGTAAATGTATGTATACAGATCACATATTTATATCAGAATTTATCAACAAGAAAGCAAAAGCCTTGCTTGTTTGGTTGATAGATACAGCTAGAGATGGTCCTTCCATTATCTAACACTTGGAAAAAATTTCAAAAGAGAGACTTTCAGTCAATGTTACCTCAGTCAACCCTGCAATTAAACCAACCCACAGAAGATTAAATCTGAATTGACTGAAAATTAAGTCTCCTGAGAGGTGAAAGGCTACACAAGACTTGAGTTTTGCAAGCACAAGATTTACGCTGATTTAAAAACAAACAAAAAACACTAGAACCACAATACTGCTGAACAACTACATTGGTTTCAAGTCACCAATGCCCTGCTCCATGCTTCATTCTGGGTCTGCACCCCACTCAGCATACCTAGAGTCCATCACCAGTGAAAGTAACTCTATATCCCTGCTGATCTCAGGTTCAGCACACCGAAGCCTTTACAAGGGAAGCTTCACTTTCACATAAATCCCACTATGCTGGGTTGAATCCTACAGAAAGTCTACCCACAAAACAGCCAAAGCCCTGGCCAGGTGTTCACTTCACTACAGAGAAGCAATCACACCAAGGACTCATTTCTCCCACATGCCTTGAGAATTTAATCCTATGAGATCCAATGCACCCTGAAATAAATCCTGCAGAATGACACTATTAGGTCTCCCCCAGCATCCATCTCCTGTGTTGTTTTTTTTTGTTGTTGTTGTTTGTTTTTGTTTTTTGTTTTTTTTTACAGTATAAACAGCCGCAATGCAAATTCTGTGTGAAATTACCACTACCTGATTGTTTGATTCTCCTCTTGCACTCAAGGAAAGGAATCCACCCACTGCATGCAGTATTATCAAGGTACTGCCAGTTAGAAAGGATGTAGTTCTGTGGTCAGTCGCAGGGATAGCTCACATGCATAATGCAAACCATTCAACAGGAAAAAAAAATGTTTTTGCAACACAGATTAACCAAATAGAGAGGGAGGGAGAAGATAACGTGAAGAACATCATCATAAATTAGTTTCCTGTTTTCATTTTATTTTGGGTCTGCTTTCCATTTCTAAAATGAGTGTTTTTACTGGATGGGCAGACGCAGATGTTTCCCACGTTTTTATCTTAAGACTTGACAAGGTGCCAATTGTGCATACATATGGCACAAGCAAGAAGGATGCTTCTTCATGAGTGAACAGCTAGAAAAGAAGATTCATCTATATCCTAGTTTCCTAGGGATATTAAGAGACATGTTAATTCACCTTGTACAGATTTAAATCCTAGAAAAACCTTATTGCTTCATTTTTTCCTCAAAATAGGATTTCCATCAAAACTATAACAGAATATAACACCTTAATAACTTAGTTTTCTACAAGGTTTTGTAAGTTAAGAGACTTTTTTTGACTCTGTGTCTCCGTTTATTTTTGTTTTAAAAATGTAGTTTCGGCAATACTCTTGGTTTCCAGAAAGCTCCATGCTTCTCCTCCAAAAAGCTCTGTCCTTAACCTATATAGAATTGGGCATATAAGATCTATATCCCCTCAAAACCATTCCCTCCTTCTTGAGATGGTGGTTAAACTATTACAATTAAAAAAAAAAAAAAAAAAAAAAAAAATCTAAACCCAGCAGTTTCTCTCAGGAATCTATACCAGCAGATATTTTACCACCATCCGAAGGAAATTCTACCTGTGAAAGCTACCAGCAAGTTTTACTACAGCCACCAATGCTTCAGTAGTCATTCTTAGGTTTTATTAAATAGCATTCTGTCTTGATAGAAATCCTGCACAGGTGATCATCAGAACAGCAAGGTCTGCTGCTCCACAGCTTTCGAGTTTGTGACTCCAAAGGATCTACTGGCCCATTTTAACATGGGCTACAGAGAAATACAGCAGTGATATTCCCTTACGTTTCCTGTGCAAAAGCAACTTTAATTCATGATCAGTGAACTCCTTAGAAGTGACAACACAAATTTGGAGCATTCAGTGCTTCATCCGTGTTTCAAGGGCAAAGCTGAAATCAGTTCCACACAATACAAACAGAGATCACTGAAGGGTAACTCATACCTTCTGGTGAAGGAAAGCAGCTGGTTACCATCTTCCCCTTCTAAGGGCAGGTTCTCTTCATCTACCCTGTTCTCTGGCAAACATGAAGAGTAGGAGAGTGGTTAAACAAAGACCATCACCTTTCATTGTCTTAACAAGATACTAATAAGAGCAAACCACAGAAAGTTTCATTCTTTTAATGCTTTCTGCATCAAAACAACTCAATTAAAAACGTGCATAACCTTAACTTGCCACAGACTCAGACAAGCATATCTGCTCAATGATCAGTTGATTTGTTCAAAGGGAAATAGTCTTTTTTTTTTTTTTCTCTCTAGGAAAAGTGTGACTTAGTTCTTAATGTCTTATTTCTATACCTAAGGTTTAACACTCAGTTCATCTGTTTGGAAGTTACAGCAGCTAGTGCATAGGCAAAACAAAAGCATCTTGATTCCATGCAGGTCAGAAAAACGTATCTACCAAGCCATGAGAAAGCAACTCCATGAAATGTGTTTCACAAAAGCAGGACAGAGAAACAAAGATGGAAGTTTAGAGCCTCTGGTAGCCAGATATCAATGGTCTAATTCTTACTAGTCTGAAGCCCTCTCTTCACCCTGCTAAAGACCCTGGGTGCTAAATTGGTCTAATAATAAAAAAAAAAAAAAAAAAAAAAAAAAAAAAAAAAAAAAGGTCCAAAGCAAATATAAATTCCAGTCAGTCCTGCAAATACCAGTATGGTGCCTGAGGAGCATCAGCTGCATGGTCTGCTGCTGGAACATGCACAGTGACACTACACAAACCCCTGAAACAACCTTGCAGTATTTAACAGGAGTCCGCTTATTTTTCACCCCTTTGGAGAACTGTCAGATGTGTATCACTAAGACCAGTGATCTCAGAGTTCAGCCAGAAAGGTTTAAAGTGAGGGCAGAATTGGGAAAGAGGCAACTAAGGGAATGTACAATAGAAATACATACAACTATGTATACCACAGAAAGATAAATGATTAACAGCTTCCAAGTAAAGAAGTAAGGAAGTGGGGAATACAGCATCAAGAGAAACTCGGAGGTACAACTACCAAGCCTAAGGAGGCATTTCCTGAGGTAACAAGAAATTAAGCTACAGAGCATCTTGCTCTAGAATACTGCAGATAAATTTTCATAGATCAGAAATAGACTGGATGGAGTAATGGAAAGGAAAGTCTACTAAGAGTTGTTAAATACAAACCACTGTTTTGGGGTGCCTCTGTCACAAATTGTTCTGTCCAGGAGAGCGTTCTGGAAAAATATTGCCAAGTGCTAGACCAGTTCCCATGCCTCAAACAAAACATTATTGGCCATTATCAGAAAGGGAATACTAGACTACGTGGTCTGTCTGATCTGGTAGGATCACTAGTGTGAGAGCACAGACTGCTTGGTTCATGGGTCTGGAGTAGTTACAAACGGGTTAAAGCACAGTGACATCAGCACATACAACCCTGGCTCTCTACGACAGCATCCAGCATTGATGAAGATTTGTTACTAACAGAAAAAACAATGTTATCAAAGAGATTCATACTCAAATAACACAGGGAGCTGAATTATCAATCTCAAAGCAACATCTCATCCATTTTGATTATTATCACTCCTCTTAGCAGTACAAAGAGTCAGGAATGAAGAAAGGCAGTATAAAGGACAGAGTATGACAGAGGACATGCCTTGCCTGTTAACACTGACTACCCAGTAAAAGGGAAAAGCATAACCTAATTACAAGAAGAAATGCCATAGAGTTGTACTAAAGCTTTGGTCAAGAAAATCTATTGATATGAGTGGAAAAAGTGAGGAATAGAAAGACTCCAATAGCTTTTGGGTCATGCAAATTTATGCAAGTAGATATTTTTTAGAGAGACTCCCTCTCAAAACATCTAATTCATTAATTCCTTTTGGAAGCATACCAGCTATTTACAATATATTGGACAACACAAATACGTAATAATTGCAAGAGTGACAAGTCCAAGATGATAAAGATTATTTCTGTTTTTATGATCTATTCCCACCACTTCTCATCTTTTTATTTCATTATACAGTGATTATACAGATAAAACAGGTTACTATTGTAAATAGAAAACTCTGTTTTCACCCAGGTATTTTAACCTTTTCCACCTAACGGAGAACTAAAAAAATAATTTAACTTCCTAGTCTTAGCTCTTAATACAAATAAGCTTAGGAACAAACAGGGTGCAGTCTTCAAACATGACTACACACAATCAGACACCAAAATCCACATGTACATACCACTTAAGCATGAATTGCATCACATGACCAAGAAGTATCTACTCTTTACTCAATTGTCTTTAGAAAATAAGCCTCCTTAGTCAGAGGAACAAAAGTCTGAAGTGCTCATCTCAGTATTTACTGCCTACATTTTAACACACCTCAGCTGTTTTCCTTGTTGTTTTCATATTGGATTAGGCTTTTATTCTTTAGTTATGATAAAAAAAAAACAACTCCTCTATCACTTGCTATGAACTCAATCTAAACAAATTTGGGCAACTGGCAGGTAACAAATGCAGCTTGGCTACTCAAGAGAGCATAAATCAGTTTTGCTAGATAGCGTGAAGCCAGAGAAAATATGGTTTTAATACATTTATATGATTATTTCCCTGCATTGGAAGAATGGACTTAATTATCCCAGTCTTTTCCAGTTCTTTGTTCCTACAGCCTGAAGTTAGCATATGGATGACCAAATTCACTATGAAACCACAGAACTGCAGAAAGCTTACCCAAGACCATCCATCATGTTGATTCTTTCAATAGCTTCATTTTTTCATCCCTACTTCCTTCACAAACACTATTAACCTGCCTTCATAGGGTAGCTACACTTATATTTGCTTTGCCTTTACAAACACAGGAGTAGCTCATGCAAAGCCAGAGTGGTGCATATTGTGCTATTCCCAGAATTCACAGAACAACTTATCTGAGAAAAATAAGGATGACATTGTGACACAAGGTCTTAAATTGCCACCCTTCAGTATATGTAATTACTATATTTTAAGGAAAACAAGTTCTCACAAGCCAGTGTACCTGATATTGCTAGACCTAAAGCAGAGTAGTTCAAGTGTTTTATTTTTTGAAGTTGACAAATGTATAGACACTCACATGCAAGATAGTCAACACATTTGTGTAAATTGAAGGACTTTTTTTTTTTTAATAACAAGTGTACCATGATCTACATAAGGTAAAAAAAAAATAATAATCTACTTACAAAACAAAGAATATCACAAATCTATTCTTTAAGTCTCTAAAAACACAAACAAAAAATCAATGAGCAGATAAAGGGCCAGAATTTGACCACAGAATGCAGCAGTCTCTGCTGCTTCCTCTTCACCAAAGCAAAAAAACACATGCAAGGTGGAGGCATTTGGGTTATCTGCTCTCAGCATTGGTACAGGGGGCAAGGGGCACTAGAGGAGAACAGACAAGATCTGTGCCCATGACAGCAGGAAGGACACTGTCCATGGAGGGGTCCTGGCTTTGAGTAGCCCCCCCTCACCCACAGACAATTGGTGCACAATATTTCATTCTCATTGGCATCCATGGTCTAAGTTCTTAGCTCAGCCAGAAGTGCAACAACCTTGGCTACAGCAAAATCAATTAAGGTTTTGTTTATGCGGTATTTTTTGAACCAGAAGTTTTGATTAGAGTGCCACTAGCCCTTTTTGCACTAGAGACAACCCATTCACAGAAGAATGAGAAAAATAAACAGACTGAAGTACATCTCAGCTTTGTTTTGCTGTAGTGAAACCATCATGTATCCCTTGAAATACAGGATCACCATGAGTAGTTTCTACTGTTAATCATTTCCAGAGACAAGTCAGGAGTTCCCACAACACCAGTGTTCTTCAGCACCTTACTCCTTCTGGACAAAGGACAGGAGAAGAGTAGGAGGTATAAAAAAGCTCCAATGAGTAATACTGAAGAGCAAACAATATTTCTATGCTTTCAAAGATGGGATTTGAATTCAAAACTTCAGAAGTCTGTCTACTTCTTTCCTACAGCTAAATCAGATTCCTGGGTTGTAGTCTTGCTAAAGCTGCTTCTAGAAGAAGTTAAGATCTTCCTACATGTAAGTACCCGTTGTCTACATGGATAGCCAGAAGTCTCCATAACTTCATGTCAGCCTCACACAACTCATCTTCAGATGACTTGCCTGTCCTTACAGAGGACAAAAAATCTCACGCTACCAGCCAGTGTAAACAAGAAGCATCCTTCAGTGTAATGTGATGCAGCTTGAAGAGATGGTACCTACAGCAGCACATCATCCTTCATCTCAGCTATAATGACTTTCTCCACTTGTTCTTCACTTCTACTGTCATCACCATTTTTTCCTCCTGTCCCTTCTACCCTCTCAGACCACTAGAGGCATTTTGGATTCATTTTTTAAGGCCTTACAGCTGTGAGTAAACTGGGTAAACTAACTCATCTTTGGCCATCCAAATCAGAAAGGTAAGCAGAACTAGGTGGGGTTAGAGCTAACCAGAGAAGACTATGCTAAACTGATGCCACTGAGTCAAATTTTCTCCTCTGAGAAGATTTATCACTCTTTTCCCCTTACTTAACAGAAGGCACATAATCTGGAATGCTGTTGAATTGTGTCTGGCTGAAAATAAAGAAAAGAAAGCTAACATTGTGTTTGTGCAAGTGCTTCTGCCAGCATTTGGACCACAGCCAGCCTATCAAGTGCAAGTATGCAGAGGGTTACAGTGCTTTGCCCAGGCATTTGATGAAAACTGTATAGCCTCAGAACACAAGCTTTTAGGTGTGAACGTTGTATACAGAATTACAATGAGGAGTTGCACTGACAAACGGTGCAGAAAAATGGAATTTCTCAGAATTTTCTTTGCCCATTCTCACCCCTCCCAAACATGGATCTTTGGATGTCCCATTAATATTCTGCTCCTTGAAAAATTACAAATGTAAAAAAGATTAATGTTTTATATTCACTCTTCTGTAATAGTTATTTTCTCACTTTGGGAGAAAACTCCAGTCTTGAAAATAAAGAGTTCATTCTTTTCTCTAATTCAGTGCTAAAATACATAGGCATCATTATCATTTGAACTAC